ACAGGTGCTAGAAGGATTTGGAGAGGGAATAAGCAGTCTTGGTTATCAAAAGTCTTAGGTACACGGCTAGGTGCCTATAGCTCAGCGGCTAGGGCGCCGGTCACATACACCAGAGCTGGCGGGTTCAAACTCAGCCCAAACAACAATGACAACTACTACCAAAAAATAACTGGGTGTTGTGGTGGGCGCCTGTAGTCCCAGCTACTTGGGAAGCTGAGGCAAGAGAATCTCTTAAGCTCAAGAGTTTGAGGTTGCTGTGAGCTGTGATGCCACAGCACTGTACCAAAGGTGACATAGCGAAACTGTTTAAAAAAAAGAGCCTTAGGCACAGATTAGAGGGACATAGGGGCCTGGGACCTTGCCCTTTCCAGATAGACCTCCTGGCATTTGGGGCTGTTTTCATGCCACACATAGGCACTCTACCAGCACCCCCTACACGACTGCACCAGCCCCCAGTCATAGTCATTATCCAATACACAGACTGTGTTCCAAGGACAGAAACAGGGTCTTTGCAGATACTTATAAAGGTTGTAGCAGGGTGTGACACTGCTGGCAAACACAGAAGGAAACAAATGCCTACAAATTCCATTCTCTTTTTCACTAGGGTGGACTCAATTGTTTTTTTTTTGTTTGTTTGTTTGTTTTGTTTTTTTAAATCTTAGAGGCTATAAAAGAAAGAAAGGTAAAAAGGCCCAAGGGCAACAGCCTCCAGGCCTTTCACAATACAAGTGTTTGGTCCTTTGTCAGTTTTTTTTTTGTCTGTCTGTGACAGAGTCTCACTTCTCAGCTCACAGCAACCTCAAACTATTGGGCTCGAGTGATTCTCTTGCCTCAGACTCCCAAGTATCTGGAACTAAGGCTCCCGCCACAATGCTCGGCTATTTTTAGAGATGGAGTCTCGCCCTTGCTCAGGCTGGTCTTAAAACTGTGAGCTCAGGAAATCCACCCTCCTTGGCCTCCCAGGGTGTTTCCAATCTCTTGCTTACAGAGTGCTAGGATTACAGGTGTGAGCTACAGTGCCCGGCCCTTTGCCAGTTTTCAAAGTATCTTCCTGCACACACATCCCTGCTCTCCTTTAAGTAAAAACTAGGGTGAAACGTGGTGTCATTAGCAGTTCCAAAGCCAGGGCTTTGTCAGGCCGGCCCTCATACTGCAGGTCCCAGCTGCCCTAGAAAGTGAGAGGCCACCCCCGTAGGCCCTGCTTGCTCTGGCCTCTGCTCCCTACATGTAGACCCCGGGCATAGGACTCTCATTCTGCATCTGTTCAGTGTCCCTGCTGGCTGTGCTAGGAGTGGGGCTGACCTTGTGTTGAATGGGTGGCAAGTAGGTGAGTGAGTGGATCACAGTCTCTGTGGGGTATGCAGCTCTTGTGGAGATGTCCAGAAATCTGCACAGCCCAAGCACATGGACTCCCTGCCTGGTTGCTGGCCACACTGACCTTCTCATGTCATTTATCTGGTGCCCTGACCAGTCCGGCCTGTGGGATAGGTGGGAGAAAAATGAAAATAACCCAAGTTCTCTCTCCACGCAAGCTTCTGTGGCTGCCAGGGTTCTGTCTCAACCTCTGTGCTGCCACCCGGGAATTATGTGTAGATCCCAACATTTTATCCTATTATGTGTAACTCCTTCAATCAGTGTCAGAGCCCAGGTGACTGGAGAGACGCCTGGGTAGAGTCCATTTTTCTCTGCTGCAAAATGGGAATAAAGGTAATAAACAGGGTCCTGTATACCTCCTGGGTACCAGTCTCTGCCAAGGCAGTAGAGTGCAGGGGGGAACAAGAGAGGCTTCGGAGCAGGCAGAACTTGGTTCAAATCCCAGGCCTGCCACTTCTATTCATCATCCTTATGTTTTGTTAAGCAAGCGACTCAAACTCAGCTCCAGCCACCCACCTCAAGGCTTTTAAGACAAACAGTCCTAGTAAAGTCCTAGGGGTGTCCAACCTGCAGGCTGCATGCGGATTTCGTGAGGACTGTTTTGCTTATCCGTGGTGTCAGATATTGCGGAAATTATGCATGGACCGTTTTTTTCCTCATCAGCGGCCATCAGTGTTTGTGTATTTAACGTGTGGCCCCAAACAACTCTTCTTCCAATGTGCAGCAGAGAGGAAAACAGGGTGGGCGTTCCTGGACCGCCCCGTCCTAGCACGTGATGTGCACACAGTCGCTGTTAGCGATGAGCACTGGTCCGCTTATTCGTGGGTACCACTCACCCCACTTCCCCAAGTGAGCTGCAGCAAGGAGGTATTCAAAATAGTCAGTCCACGCCCAAGAACGTGGACGTCAACCAACATCTCAGAGTTAAGATGTCTGTTACAAAATGACAGATGACCACAGAAGAGAGAAACACATTGCCTTAAAGACACAGAGTGGCTCCCAGGCCCGGGCGCTCAACAGTGTGTCCCAAGAGAGTTTTCCTATCAGCCCAAGAGCTCAAGCAGCAGCTGCAGGGGTTGGAAGCCCACACAACAGAGGCAGCTGTGGGAAGGGCAGCCCACCTCAGAGGAAGCAGCCTGGTAAGCCTGACGGGGGGTGGATACCCTGGGTAGTCTGAGCCCAACACCTGGAAATATCTGGATTATGCTTTTCTTGTGAGCAAGAGAAGTCATGAACCAAAGGAAGTGACCACCTGACACGTTGGCATTAATCTCTCTGCTTCTCAAGAACATGGCCTAGAAAAGTGAGACAGAGGTCCAGACTCCCTGCCCTGGTCAGTTTGCCAACGAGTGCACCCTGTCAAGTGGGGTCAGGCTGAGCCATGTGTCCTCCTGTGTGTGTCTCTTCAGATTCCCACCCTCAGAAAATGTTTCCTGAATGAGTGACCCAACAGCCAGGGGAAGCACTGTGACATCTGCTCAAGGACAGGTTCTGGCTCACGTTCTGCCACAGACGAACCAGGATTTTCAAGGAATATTGCTTCAAGAAAACAGAACACGACAGGCATGTCCCAGTCCCACCACCTGGAAGCAGCTATGGGTTGGTTAGTGAGCTTGGGGGTTCTTTTTAACTTCCTTCCTTACATTTTTCATATTTGCCAGATTTTCTACCAAAAACATGGATTGCTTTTAAGAACGTAAAATACAGATGACCGGAAAGTCCACTGGACCATATACCTGAAGAATGTCTCCTGCTCGTATATTAAACATTCTATTTTGGAAGCCATACAATCCTGTTCAACCTGCTACCGGGGTTTAGCTAAATGTTAGGCTATCTCTTTACAGGATCCCAGGGGCGTTGCTGTTGGTAGTATGTGAAGCAGGAAGTCTGTGCCAGAAAATAGAAGGGGTTAGGGGTAATTAGGCAGGGGCAGCTGAGCTTGGAGCCATATATGAGTTCAACATGGGCAAAAGCATTGATTTCCATTCGCCCAATTTAAGAATGTGACCCCCCCGCCCCTTGAAATTTATGTATTTTAAGTAGTAGATTTTGAGAAAAGACGGAACAGAGGAGAGGAAGAGCAAAGAATACAAAACAGAGAAATGACCTAAACATGCTAAAACTTTTTTTGGAAATTTTCAAGTTTAGCGTCCAATTGTTACCTCAGTTGAGGGTGGGTGGAAAAATCGGCCCTTGTTTCCTCTGAACAAATGTTGCTTCCTCCTCTCTCCAGCCCCTCCCTGACTCAGCAACTCAATTGTCCCCTCTCACTGAATGTGCTTTGGGGTCAAGCTCATTCCTCTCCCCATTAGCCTTAGATGTCTGCCAAGACTGCTGATTCCAGGCTGCCAAGACATGGGCCTGGGGTGCCCTACACATTCTAAGGCTGGATGCAAGAAATACACAGAATGATACAGAAGATGCCCCCAACGGATGCAGAATTCCCTAACTCAAAACCAGCTCTCAACGACCAGCTCCATCTCAGGACGGAGGGATGGAGAAAAACAGAGGTGACCCAGGCCCCACAGCTCCCCAGGCTAGGTGGCCAACAGTAGAAACATGTTCAGGGCACTTAAGAAAGAAACTATTACTCTCTGGGGGGCGGTTATTCTTACACCTTACTCCCTGGGTAGGCTTCTAATCTCTAATCCATGAAAATGGGGCCAGAGTGGGAAGGAAGGTCCAGAGGACCGAGAAGAGTCCACGGCCAGGGCAGAGTGCTAGGTGAGGGCAGGGAGCTGCGTGAAGCTGGCCAGGCTATGAAAGGTCTGGAATGTCACACTGAGAAATCCAGACTTCATCCCACAGTCAGTAGCTCTGAGTTTCAGATTTCAGGGTCCAGTAGAAGTTCAACAAATTTGGGGGACTTAAGATGGCTAACTGGTTATTTTGCCAAATAAGGCCATTCAAACCCAAACCAAAAACTCAATGCTGCTTGCTATCATTTTAAAAGCTGGGAGGACACAAACTTAAAATGAAAAATAATCCTCTCTCTACCACCACAAAAGACAGCTGGCGACCATCTACTGACATTCAAGTGACCACTACACCGTCCTTACTGTTCTCACTTTCCCGTAGACAAACAGAAACTTCCTCACTGAATGGGGCTAGGAAGCACAGCTGGGGGACCAAGAAAGCTGGGACGCTCACACCTGAGTTACGCCTGTTTGTGTATCCAAGATATAACACGTGTTTTGTTTATAGATACAAGACCTCAAAATGAGGTAAAGTTTATGCAAGTGCTGGGCACGGTGCCCAGCACAGGCCCCCTGGGTGTGACACCTCTAGCACAACAGGATGGAGCTGATGTTCCAGGCGGGGAGGGGGTGGGGGGAGCTTCCATGGCCAAAAGGGCTTGGGAAACACCGAGACTTTCAAAAAAGTACTACTATTCGTGCACTGACTGTGTAAGTGAAGACTAGACTTCAGTATGCAGTGTCCTCCCAATGTGGTGGATTCTCAGGACTGATACAGACTGTGGGGGGAGCCTTTGAGGTTCGCTTGTTATTTAGCATGCGTGAGGTTAATGAGGGCAAGATTAGAGGAGAGCCATGCAAGCCGAGGAGCACCTGGCAAGTACGGCCAGCGGCACCCACACACCCACCCGCCAGGTGACAGCCCTGTACCTCCAGGTCAGAGTTGATGGAGGAGACCTCGGAGGAGCTGCTGGAAGACACTCGGGCCCGGATGACCTGAACAGGTGGGTAAGAGGGGGGCTCCTGCAGGGGTGCATCTCCAGTGGTCGTCTGTCCGTCACCAGGAAGCCTGGTGGCACTGCAGCCCGCCTGCGATGAGTGTGGGAAAGGACAGTTAGTTTCCTTCTTTATTGCTGAGCTGCCAAAGCATTCGCATTCAAGAACTTCAGTATGCAAAAGGCATGACGGGGTGTGCCGGACAGCGTCCACTGGCACTGCCCTCTCCTGGCCCTCCGGCTCTCCTCCCCACAGGCAGCCAGTGCTCAGTTTCCGGTGTGTCCTGGATAATCTATACATGTACAGTCAGATGCACATATGTGTATTTCCCCTATTTCCACAAATGGTGGCATGTTCTACACTCTCTTAAGCACCTTGGTTTTTTTCACCAAACAATATGCCTTAGAGATAGTTCTGTGTCAGAAGTTTTGGGGGGTTATGGTAGCACTGTAGGTGTTTATCATCTATTTAACTAGTCTCCTACTGGTGGACAGTTAAATCAACCTCTTGCTTTTGCAATCAACAATGTACATCCAAGATTTCAAGGAATTTAAAGGATATATTCCTAGAGGTGGAATTGCTGGATTGAAAGGTACATGCATTTAAAATCTGGGTACTGCTGTCAAAAATGCCCTCCATACAGTCTTTACCCATGCCCATCAGCAGTGTATGAAAGTGAGCTGGGAGGGTTTAGTGGAGGAAGAAACTTGTGAGATGTTCTTCCTATCTATCATCTGAGACCAGCACTTCCTCACGGTGTGTGTGTGGGGTCATCAGAGATGAGCTGGACTTTCCAAGCCACGCAGGATTCAGGTCATTCCACGGACGTGTGACAGTGGACCAACATCTTCCACTGATTACTCATGTGACCTCAGAAAGCATCTGTCCTCTCTCAAATCTCAGTTTCTAATCTATAAAAGGAGGGTGATAATCCTTGCTTTGTCTCCACTAAAGGGGTGTCATGGAGCTCAGATGTAAATGCCCTGGACAGAAGAATGGTTACGAGGACTGGACCCCAAACCAAGCCGGGCCCCAGCCCTCAATGGGTTAAGTGCACAATTCCAGGTGACACTCAGCTGCACAGACAGAGACAGCACGCAGAAGAAACAAAGGCAGCATTCTGGAGCAGCCTGGGAACACAGGTGAGGTGCCACCCCGCTGCCCACCTGGGAAGGAGGCGGAAACAGAAAGCTCTGGGCAGGGTGGGGAAGCAGAGTCTCTGGAACAACAATGATAAAGTCTATAAATTCCCAGGGCCTGACTACACCTGAGTCAACAGACAAATGGGGTTTTCAGACCTGTAAGCCAAGTTCAATGCAAATGATACACAGGGCCCTACGCCCTACGCCCTTCTGTCCATCTCAAGGCTCAGCCTGAACGACAGGGCTGCTCTCCTTGTAACTGCTGGAAAATCCCTCCTTAGGACCAGCACTTGGGGGGTTGCTGGGAAAACAAGGGGGCACCTCTGTTGCTCCTGTTACCCATTTCCAGATGGCCATCTAAACAGGATACACAGTAGTGCACACAGAGACCTGTCTCACCATAGCCTTGTCCACTGGGACATCGTTAACTGAGCAGGTACAAAAGGGCAGCAAAGCACATTCTCTCAGGTCCCAGAAGCAGCAGGTTTAGTTTGAAACCTTGTTCTGTGATTCTCTAACTAAGGGATCTTGGACAAATTACTTAACCTTTCTTTACCTCAATTTAAAATACTATTAATTGTTAATAAAATAATAATGGAAATGATGGTATCTATTTCATAGGGTAGATAACAGCAATTTTTAATAGTAATGACAATCGCCCATTTATCAAGTGCTTAATTGGCCACAGTCATCATGCCAAGTAGGAGGCTGTGCAGCACAGAGGTCAATGGCACAAACTCAGGCAGAGACAGGTCTGAATCCTGGTTTTACCACTGACAAACTGTGTGACCTCCATGCGTCCCAGTTTCCCTATCTATAGAATGAGAATAATACCTCCGGGGTTGGTTGTGAAGATGAAAGCTAATAGACGTAAAACCCTTAGACTAGTTTTCTAGCCCATAACAAGCACCACGTAAGGAGCCAGTATTTAGCCCTCAGTACATAGGCTACATGGAATGAATAGCATCCATAGGAAGAAGGGAGTTGCTTTCTCCCCTAGCTGGTCAGTGGTGCTTGGGCTCCCTCGCACCCCCTGGTGGACACAAAAGGAAGAGGCTGTGTGGAGGCTAAAAACCAACAAAACTAGCCAGTGGGTTCCAGTGGAAGAAGGAACATGCTCTTGTTTTGTCTGTCCCTAGCAAGAATCCACTCAAGAATCCACCGCAACAGTTACAGTGAATACAACTTTTGACTGTTCTTTTTCAGGAGTTCCATAATTTGACTTGGCGCCTGTGACTCAAGCAGCTAAGGCACCAGCCACATACACCTGAGCTGGCAGGTTTGAATCCAGCCTGGGCCCGCCAAACAACAATGAGGGCTGGCAACCAAAAACAGCTGGGCATTGTGGCGGGCGCCTGTGGTCCCAGCTACTTGGGAGGCTGAGGCAGGAGAATCACTTGAGCCCAGGAGCTGGAGGTTGCTGTGAGCTGTGATGCCACGGCACTCTACCCCAGGCGACAGCTTGAGGCTCTGTCTTAAAAAAAAAAAAAAAAGAAGTTTCATAATTTAAAACTTTCTAAAAATTAGCCAGGCATTGTGTTAGGAACCTGTAGTCTCAGCTACTTGGGATGCTGAGGCAAGAGGATGGCTTGAGCCCAAGAATTTGAGGTTGTGTGAACTATGATGATGCCATAGCATGCTACTCAGAGCGACAGACTGAGACTTGGTCTCAAAAAATAATAACAATAAAAAGAAAAGAAGGGAAATGAAATAAAAATATAAAATAAACTTTCTAGTGCAGCTAGATGCTGTCAGAGTTCCTGTTTTTCCTCCACACAACCAGCCTAATAGAGGCCGTCATGGGCTCCTAATTGTAAGCATGCTCTGAATCTCTCTGAATTTCATTACATCAGAATTATTTGCACCCAATACCCAAGGAACAACAACAGCAAAGAGCAAAACTATCCCCAAGCACCAGTGTGTGCAGCTGTGCAGGGCGCCACCACTAGACCATGTTTCAAAGCACCTGTTTTCTGAGAGCCCAGGACAGTGGTGCACTAGGGTCAACAAGATGGGAGACAAAGCTTATAGCTCAGCAGGAATCACCAAAACAAAAACAAAAACAAAAACAAAAACAGCCTAAGATAGTAATAAGTGCTTTACAGAGGATTTAAAGAGGTAATAAAATAGAGGACTAGGACAGAGGGGTGGAGGCTACTTGGCAATGGTGGCTGGGGAAGGGCTTCGGAGAAGGTGAGGTTTTCATCAAAGTCTGAAGGATAAAAAAGAGGTAGGTGTGTGAAAACTAGGAGGAGGAGCATTCTGGGCAGAGGAATGGAGGCAGAGAGAGACGGCCAGGTGAGGACAGGCAGGAGGATGGCCACGTGAGGAGGCAGGTGGGAGGATGGTCAGCTGAGGAGGACAGGCGGGAGGATGAACAGGTCAGGAGACAGGAGGGAGGATGGCCAGGTGAGGAGAAGGGGCCGAGCCAGAGAGGAGCAGCCTTGGACTTGCAGAACCTTGGAAGTCTTCTGTAAGGAGTTAGGATTCTATTCTGCCCGAAATGGAAAACGAAATGTGATTTACATTTGTGAAAGAGCTGCTGCTGGTAGCAGCTGAGAGGAAGGCCAGTGGGGAGGCTCCAGACCTCCTTTAAGGAAGCATTCACAGGACTCACAGATGGGCTGGATAGGCAGGGGGGTGTAGTGAGGGAAAGAGAGGAATTTTTGGCTTGAACCACTGTATGGACAAGTGGTGGGTCTGGGCATGGAAATCCAGAATTCTGTGTTGGACACGGCAAGTGTGAGACACCATATGGTGACGCTGACTAGGCAGCTGGGCCACCAAGACTGGAACTGCAGGGAGAGAAGGATGGGGACCCAAACCAGGGAGTCAGTGAGAGCTAGCATTCAGAGTTAGGGGGACCACCAGAGGACAGCAGAAGAAGGGGGCCCTCCTAGGACTTGGGGCACTCCTGCCCTAAAGTCAAGCTTACTGGGAGGAGCCAGAAAAAGCTGTGAGGAACGTACCACCTGGGAGGGTGGCAGGAAAGCCCAGGACAGTGGAGGGTGGGGCTGCAGAAGCCAGAGACAGTGGCCAGAAGAGTCGAGTCTCAATTAGAACAGAAATGACTGGATTTAGCAACTAGGAAGTTACTGTTGACCTTGATAACAGTCTCAGCCAGCTGTTCTCAACCTGTGGGTCGTGACCCCTTTGGAGGTCGAAGGACCCTTTCACAGGGGTCGCCTAAATACATCCTGCGTATCAGATATTTGCATTATGATTCATAACAGTAGCAAAATCACAGTTATGAAGCAGCAAAGAAAATAATTTTACGGGCTCGGCGCCTGTGGCTCAAGCGGCTAAGGCGCCAGCCACATACACCCAAGGTGGCGGGTTCGAATCCCCAGCCCGGGCCCGCCAAACAACAATGATGGCTGCAAC